TAGATCTTGGTCCAACAAAGTCACAGCCGAGCCCTCATCGAGGAAGGCGTAAGTTTGGACAGCTTGACCGTTTCCGTACAGAATAACGGGAAGATAGCGGAACAATACGGTATTTTCAGCGGGCTGTTGGGTGTAACATCCATGTGTTGCGCTAGTTCCAGCTTGTGGAGCAATAAACACTTTATCTTTCGCTATCCAAAAAGCCACCTCCATCAGAACGGGAGCCGCTTCCAGTGGGTTCATTGTATGGCAGTTACGCCAACGGGAGTCCGCATCGACCGAAAGAACTGCTGATGAAGAAAAATAAGGAGGACCACACAATGCAATGGTTGCTGCCGAGAAAACAGACGATCGCGTGGCACACATCGAGAGTGGCCTGCTTTTGTCGACAACCAAGTTAACACTGCAACATAGTTTGGTCGTCAGTTCACTATTAGCTGGCTCAAGCAGCAGTTGTCGGCACTTATCGGTGTCGATCACGCGATGACTTTTGCTTCGGTGCGTTTTGTTCGTTTCCTGCAGATCGGTTGGAACCTTTTGTCATCGCCGTAGGAAGCAAACAAAATTCATGGCAGTGAAAATTAAGAACACAATTTGATTCGATTCTCCCAATCCACCTTCCATGGGTGAATTTGCAATTGTGTGACGGCACAAGAAGCGAATCACGTAGAGGTGGAAGCAACGTACTGGATTTCAGAAGAAAAAGTGGTTTTCATTAAGTTCAAGTTGGTAGAATCAATGTATAATGCACAAAGTTACAGATTCGACGGATTTTTGAAATTTTAAATGTTTTGCAAAGTTTAATGTAATCTTTAGGGGCAGGCATGGCAAATGATTTACATTCATTTCGTGCATTCATTTACATTCATTTGCTTCTAACTTTTTCCATCAACAGAATTGCGTTAAATGATATATGAAACTTTTGTAGGTTTTGATATTAACTACAACTTTTGTCGATAACTCAAATCTGTACCTCTTATGCATGACGAACTAGAGCGGGCAGAACTTGTTACTATTTTTCAGTGAATGTAATTTACATTCACTGAAAAACATAGGTAAGTTCTGTTCGCCCCGGTTCATCATGCATAAGATATACAGATTTGAGTTATTAAAAAAGGTTGCAGCTAACATCAAAACCTACAAAAGCCTCATAGCCTAGTCAGTAAAGGCACGGTATTACCAACAATCAATACGAAACTAACGATTTTAAATTGGCACACCACTTTAGTAGCCTATTGGTCCCAAGCAAACGATTAACGTACCCTATTCTAGTTGAAATTCTATTACTACACTATGTTTGTTTTGATTCGCTATGAAAGTTTGACAGATAACATCAGGGGTGTGTGGATTCATGCAGAACATGCAGGGGTGAGTGAAATAGCTTGGGACTGCTTGGGACCGTTGTTCTGGTACTGAGAGAGCCAAAAATAATAATGATTTTCTTCGGGACCCAGTGGTCTTAGAGTTACCTCTATGGTATTACCAAGCCGGAGGCGGCGGGTTCGATTTCCGGTCCGGTCGAGGGAATCTTTCGGGTTGGAAATTTTCTCGACTTCCCTGGGCATAGAGTATCATTGTCCTTGCCACACAATATACAAATTCATGCAATGGTATTGGCATCGAAAGCTCTCAATTAATAACTGTGGAAGTGCATTTAGAACACTAAATTGAGAGCACGCAATAAGCTAATATGCGCTAAGCAATAAGCTTGAAATGCGAATAAGAAGAAGAAGATATCTATCATGGATAAGTGTTATGGAGACGGTGTCGATCGGACTTCTTTAAGACAAACTCGTCAAGTTATCTTTCGGGGTAAGCTTTTAGTTGCAATTTATTTTAATTAGTTTTATGCACGTTTTTACAAATTTTTTGTGTTACTTACAATTATTAGTCTTCTTCGTTTTTTAATCCGTCTGTGTGTAACAGTTGCTTTGCTTGATTGTTTTAACCTAGTCTATATGAATTCATTCAGTGTTTGTGTTTAATTTAGCCAAAAAATACTCACAAGATGGTTTTATAACCAGTAGCTTTTATAAGATACAACTTTTAATATTGTAGCACTAAATAAAAACTCAAAATTTCAATGTATTCTTCCGTGTTCTTTGTACTACGTTATAACAATGGAATTAGATAATGATAGTGAAATTTTCATTACTGACAATTCCGGTTGACGTTTCCGGTTGACGTTTCCGAGCTTGACGTTGTCAGTCAACCGTTAGGTCGACTGGGTATCGGCAGCGTTTGCCGATGACGGGGGGTCTTGGATCGTCGCGCACATACCCCACCCGGTATTACATGAAGTTCCTTCAGCTATACCATCCTGTTCCAGCACGTCCAAGACAGCCAACTTAGTTAACGGACGCTGATGTATGCCCGTAGCAGACCTCACATCCGAGCTGCGTATTCTTCCGTCTTTTCCTGTATACACCTTTACGACGATTCCTCTTTCCCAGCTATTCCTTCTTGTTTCGTTCACGATCATGACCAAGTCTCCAATCTGTATCGGTTTCACTTCCCCGAACCACTTCGACTGTCGCGATATGACTGGTAAGTATTCCCTGATCCATCGATTCCAGAAACTTTGACCTTGCTTTGAATTGCTTCCAACTCGAACGCATAACCGATGTATTATGCAGCGAAGCAGTGACTGGCTGGCATACTCCGTTAGAACTTAGAAGCATGAAGTGGTTCGGAGTGAGCGCTTCACTCTCTGCTGAATCCAAAGGAAGATACGTAAGCGGACGAGTGTTCACCATTGACTCCACTTCTGCTAAGGTAGTTAAGAGGGTTTCTTCATCAGGATTCCTCGAAATTTCCATGGCGTCCAAAGCTGTCTTCACCGACCGCACTAATCGTTCCCAGATGCCCCCCATGTGCGGAGCATAGGGAGGATTCAGCTTCCACTGCGTTGCTGCATTTGTGAACGTGGCGGCCAAGTCATGGTGGATCTGATTCACTTCTTGCTGCAGTTCTTTCCGGGCTCCCTGGAAATTCGTCCCCTGATCTGAGTATATCTCCAGAGGCGCTCCACGGCGGGCAATGAATCTGCGCACAGCTAACTTGCAGGATTCCGTAGTCAATGTGAATGCAACCTCCAAATGAACTGCCCTCGTCGTGAGACAGGAAAATAATGCCAACCAACGTTTCACACAACCCCGTCTGAATCTGATAGATATTGGTCCAAAATAATCTAGACCAGCAAAGGTGAAAGGCCTGACGTATGGAGTTAGACGTGCCTGCGGAAGTTGACTCATTCGAGGATGCTGCGGAATCGACTTACGAACCTTGCATCCCCAACACTTCTTGGCTACCTTTCCCACAGCAGATCTCAACTCGGACACATGGAACCGTTGCCTGAACTCGTTCACGATCGTCTCGTTGTTCGCATGACCAAACTTACGATGATAGCTGTCTATGATAAGTGTAGTCACGTAGTGGTTTTTGGGCAGAATCGCAGGAAACTTTGCTTCATCTGACATCCAGGGGGAGGCACCGATCCTTCCGTTCTTCCGGATCACGCCATCGACTCCGAAGAAAGGACACAGCTTATAAATTCTGCTGCTCTTCTCAATTACCGTCCGCTGGTTGATGGGTAATTGTGTAGTGTATTCACCTGCAAAACCTTCACGTTGTATCAGCCGCAGCATCGTCAGTTCTGCTTCCTGAAGTTCTTCTCTGCTTATAATTTCAGGATCTGAAAGCGGCAGTTTATTCTTTTTCTTCAGGCAGTTATCTCGAAATCGTCGCACATACGCTACAGTCCTCAACATTCGTTCCCATTTCGAGAATCGCTCAAACTGAACCGTTTCACCTGCTACTGCAATGCCAAGGTTGTTGACCGTCCGTATTTCCTCAGAGGTGGTCCTTCCGCCTCCTGTTCCGGCCAATCTTCCTCATCCTTGTAAAGGAATTCTGGACCTCGCAACCACCTACTTTTTTCTAAAGCAATCGGGCCGTTTCTCGATAATTGGTAACACACTTATAGCCTCTAGATTTAAGGATCGGTACTATTAACACCGGTACCGTCGAGTTGGTCACCCTATCCCAACCGGTTCCACCGCTTGACTGATAGGCTGTCGCTATTGATAAAATGTCATGGGTGGGATTGCGTAAATCAAAACTACTGGACAATAGATGAACAACAAATTATCGATCGACACATGAGGTGGACGTTAATAGTACGTTCAGACTACAGAGTTATAACATGTTATAGCGCTATCTTGATGGTAGTCTCTGTGTTGCAATTATTTGACAACCGTTATAACATGTTATAACTCTCCAGTCTGAACAAGGCATAACATTGAATGTTTATTTAATTCGTTATTCTGGAGTGCAATTGTATTAATTCTACTGATTAATGTCTAAAATATAGTTCCTTATCTAACTAAGAACTAGTGAAGGTAAGAAAGGCTAGTGAATTAAAACTAGAAATAGAATATAAATGTAATACATATCTTATAAACTACGTAGGACCTAAGCCTAACCTGAAGTTGGACAGTGAAAATGAAAGGCCGATAGAATTGTAAGAGCCAGTGAAATGTAAGTGATTATCCTAATGCTAAAACAAATCATAAACTAAACTAAACCTACTGTTGCAGTTTGAAACGTGAATATATCTAGCTACAGAAGTCGGTGCTTTGGTTTTCATTTAGCTGTCGCAACAGGTACTATGGACGCCGTTACGCTCTGTCTTGGAGCGAACGGTTGAAAACAGCAGCGGATGAACACACAGGAGGCAAGCTGTCTGTTCCGGGTCCTTTCGTTGGATCAAGCTCATCGAGGGCTTTCTGAACTTCGTCTGGAGAAAACTGTATACACGGTAGATGAATGTTATGGGACGGTATCTGCTCAAAACAGTGTTGACGTTGTACGGGCGATGCTTTACTAAACACGCTCTCGAAGAAAGTAGCAAAGAGATTGGCTGCTTCTGAGATTAAGCAAGAATTTGTTCCATCAAAGTTGACCGAGCCAGGGATTTTTTTTTCTTTGGATTTGTCTTTTCAGACAGGCTTAGACCATGGCTGGTCCATCTCGCCGCTGGTAGTCAGTAATTTGCTTTGTTTCTTTAATTTAAAGGTGTAGGTTTTTGATGAATGGTTGTCCGTCTTAGATGTGCACCTTTCCGTCAGGATCATTTCTAACGGTTTCATGTAGTCCAGTACTATGTATTTGCTTCTACTTTGGTTGTATCGAGGGCAGTCGTATAGGATGTGCTTTAAGTTTTCGGTTACTTCACACCAATCACACGTATCGTACAGTTCCCATCCCCAGCTTGCTTTTCTTTCCTTGGTCAGACTGTGTCCGCTTCTTATTCTGCTTAAGACTTTCACTTCATCTGGCTGCAACCTGAGATCCTTGCTCCATATCTTCTTGTTTGGCCGGTCCATGAGCTGGTAGTGCCATTTCCCTTTCTCCTTCGATGTTGCTTTGTACTTCCTGGTCCAATTCTCCCATATTTCTGTGCTGCTGAGTCTTAAGGCGTCTCCTACTGTTATTCCATGGTAGCATGTTTGTTTTTCTTGTGTTTTGGTCACGGCAAGTTGGTCCGCTGTCTCGTTGCCTTTGATACCATTGTGGCTTGGTACCCATTGGATCTTGATAGTTCGTCCTCCAAGGTCCTGGAATTCCTTGTGGATCTCCCACAGCAGGTAATTAGCTTCGTATAGACTTTCGTTCAGCAACATATCGCAGGCACTCCTGAAGTCGGTGAATATGACCGTTTTCTTGTATCCTTTCTCTTTCGTTAGCTCTATCGCCTTCAGAATGCCGAGCAATTCAGCATTCGTAATCGTGAAGTTGATATTGATGCTTTCCGCTACGCTGGTCTCATCTGTCTCATCGAACACGGCGATTGCCGTGCCTGAAGCCGTTTTTGAAGCGTCTGTATAAATTCTGTTATGCTGTTTGTACAAGGTCTGGCTTGCTTCCTGGAAAAGTGCCTGCCATACTGCTGCAGGGGTGCGTTCTTTCTTGGGCCTTGCTTCCATTAACGTTGTTTTAATTATCCTATCGAACTCGACTTCAGGAATGAATCGCCTTCTCTTCAACAGGGAGAACTCCCTGTCTGAAGGGTGAACTTGGAAGAGTAGGTACACGTGCTTGTCTGTGATCTCCGTTAGAAAAGATTCGTTGCCCATTTCTCTATTTAGAGTCTCTCCGACAAACTTCATCAACGGAGTTCTGTACCAAAGTGTCCTGATGAGTTCCATTTTCGTAAGGGATTCGATCCGCTGTTTCATAGGTAGTTGGCCTGCTTCCGCCAGCATAACGTGAACTAGAGTGGTGCTGAGGAAGTTCATTGCTTTTCGCACATATGCATTTTGTTGCACTTGTAGCTTCTTCAGGTGGGTCTTTGCTGCGTTTCCGAACACTGTTGCTCCGTATTCCATCCGGCTCCGGATCAAAGCGTTTCCTATTTTTACGAGGGTTTCCGGATTTGCTCCACTTGATTTCCTTGATAGCATTTTAAGTAGTCCGACTTTGCTCCCCGCCTTGTCTCTTACAGACTCCATGTGTTTCCTGTGCGCCAATCCTCTGTCAAGCACATACTCAAGGTACTGATGGGTGTTTACAATGTCGATTTTGACCCCACGTACAGCCACTTTGAGGCCTTCAGTCCGCTTTCTAGTGAATGGGATGATCGCTGATTTGTGACTGCTCACTTTTAGGTTTAGTTTTTCTAATCTGTCGTAAAGTTGCGGTAGGAACTTTGAGCAGGTATCTGCAGCTTCTTCCACTGAGTCTGCTGTGATGATGACAGCGACATCGTCAGCAAATTGCACCAACTCGCAGCCATCGGATGAAAGGTCATGAAGCTCGGCCGTGTACAAGTTGAAGAGAATCGGTGAGAGGGGACAACCTTGCGGTAATCCTTCAGATACTTCGACTTCTATTGTTCCTTCCTCCGTTCTTAGTAACAGTAACCGAGATCTTAAATACTCGTGAAGCCACGAGATAATCTTGTCCGGTACTCTCAATTTTGCTAGGGTTCCAATCAGTATTGCTGAGTCGACTGAGTCGTACGCCATGCTCACATCCAGAAAAATCACAAAAGCTTCTTTGTGCTCCTCCTTTGCTTTGTGTATCGAGTTTACCACGTAATTGATGCAAGTCGACGCCGAGACATGCTTCCGGAAACCAAAGGACAGTTCAGGGATCAAGTCCTTTATGGTTGCGATTTCTGCCAACCTGTTCTTGATTGCAGAGTTTATCAGCTTGATTTCGATGTTCATCAAGGCAATTGGTCTCATGCTGTTAGGGAGTCTGGACTGCCAGTTTTCTTCGGGATTAGCTTGATCTCGGTGTACCTCCACTGATCCGGAATTTCCTCAGAAACAAATACTCGGCTGAGCATTTCGCAGATTTTGCTTTGCATTCCCGGATTTAATTGTTTTATCACGGCGTATGACATTCCGTTTGGTCCTGCAGCAGAATGGTTCTTCCGTTGTCGAACGACGGATAGTATCTCTCCTTCCTTGATTGCCATCTCGTAACCTTCGAGAAAACGTTCGGTGGACACTACAGGCAGTGGAATCTCTCTGTATCTTCCTTGGAAGTAGTGGTTCATGAAGTTTATCCCCTCTTCGCGGGTGATTTCGGCTGACATTCTATGGTTTCCCGTAAGAGCTGTGTCGATCCCCTTGACAAGATTCCACAATTGCCTTGGTGGGGTTGATTCATCGATCTTCTCTCGGTCAACTCCCTGACATGTCTCCGCTTGGTCTACCTTACTTCTTTCTTGAACAGTGCCCTTTCCTTTTTCAGCCGGATGAAATTTAAGGTGGTCTTCTGTCGGTTGTACTCCCTGAGTGCTTCCCGCTTGCTTGTGTACAGTTTTGCTATCTCATCTGTCCACCAGGTTTTGAGGAAGTTTGCTTTCTTATTTTTGAAGCTGAACGACGCTTTTTCTACCGCTTCGTTGAACACTGTAACCATTTCTTCCGGGGAGTATAAGAACTGCGGCCGTATCGTATTTAGCTGGTTAATAAGGACTTCTTTGTTGATCCGTTTTATCGTTCTTTCTACCTTGAGGATGTTGCTGCTGATTTCCAGATGAATGCTCATGTGTACACTTCCGAACTCTTCCTCCTTCACTGACCAATGTGCTTTTCTGGCGAGTCCGGGGGTCACCAGCGTGACGTCAATAGCTGAATTCCTGCTTCCAGGAGGGGAGATCATTGTTGGGGATCCATCGTTTAACAGAATCAAATTTAACTCCTCGATTAAGTCGCATAGCAGTCTTCCGCGACTGCACGTAGTGAATTCCGGACTCCAGGAAATGTGATGAGCGTTTAGATCTGCACCTAGTACAGACTCTCCGTCCAATTCTTGCAGGAATGAGAAAAAGCTCGTCATCTCCTTTCTGCTCACGTCACTCGAGCCCCTCGCTGGTGGTAAGTCTATTGAGAAAAGGTTTATTTGCTGGAACCCTTTTTTGATTTTTACTCCTACTGCTTCAAGCAAATCGAATTCTGGAATTTCGATGCTCTCCACAAGTATTCTATCTGCTATCAAGATTCCTACTCCTCCGTACCCGTCCGGGCGGCGACTTGAGGAAAAAGTGTGCCCTTTCAACTTGAAATTCTCGTCCTTCTTTAGCCAAATTTCCTGTAGGAGCGCTACATCTATGTTGTTCGAGGTCATGCATGTGTAGAGTTCTTCTCTTGTTTCCGTTTGTCTGATACTTTGTATATTATGTTGCATTATTTTTAGGTTTTTATAATCCATTGTTTGATCCTGTTAGTCTATTCTGCTGCTCCGTGTTGTCTACTGTGGCGTCCTCTACAATTTTCTCCAAGTCCATGCTGACCTCAATCAACAGTTGATCCGTCTCGATCTCGGTTCCCTCCAGGCTTATGCGGGATCCCAATTTCCTTCTGAGCTCGATTATAGGGGCCAACCAGTTCCTCCCATAACAGAACCGCACGAGATCCTTCCTTATCTGTGCGATGAGCTTTTCCAGTTCCGTAGCTTTATGGAAGTTGAAGCCTCTGCCACGTTCTTTCGACCCACCTTGCCCTCTCACTGAGACAAGTCCACCCTGGTTTCTTATTTCCTGCCTGTTTTCATGCTCCCATCCTTTGTCAAGACTCCCCTCATCGATCCTGTTTTCATACTGTCTCATTTCCCAAAATTCTCCGGATCTTCCACCTCTTCTGCCCTTGGCTGAGTCCTTTGGAATGGCTCCAGTGTTGATCCGCCGGGATGTGCCCGGCCCATCCAAATCTGGGAATTCAGAGTCATCCTCCAACAGCGCGAAGCGGTTCTGTAGTATCGGGAACTCCTTTTCCGCTTCTGCATACGGCACTCGGTCTGTCAGCATCTTCTTCAGAATCCTACTTCTTCGTCCGCGTTCAGGACAGTTCCTATCATTTGCTGGGTGGTTTTGTTGGCAATTTGTGCAGCGAAGAGGGCTGTCGCATTCTACGTCCAGCTCATGTGCTTTCCCACACTTCCTGCATTGTGCTCGTCCTGTGTATCTGGTCTTCGTGTGCCCGAATTTCCAACAAAGATTACACTGCTTTACAGGGAAGATGTAAAGTTCTGCACGAAAGTTGACTCCATACTACTTGATCGAGTCAGGTGCCTCCCTCCCGTGCACAGTCACTTTAACGTTCCTTGTGTCCACTAGCATGCCTTCTCTGTCCTTTTTCCTGATCCGCTCGACCTTCTTAACTGGAACGCTGGCGATGATAGACGCACTCATCTCCTCCTCCGTGAATTCTCGCGGTACATTGGAGATGAAGACCAAATTTTGTTTGTGGCCCTGCGGGATGAATATCTTCAGGTTCTTCGGGTCCAGATTGATTCCTTCCAGTTGAGGGAAGTCCGCTACTGATTCCAGCTCCAGCTTGAATCGAAATTTGCCGATGTTCGTAATTTCACTACACCGCGCAAACCCGGCGTCGATCAGGATTTTTCAGACTGCTGCTGAATGACTTGGGAGGGGGCGTCATACTTGATCGGTTCGAGATAAACTACCTTCGATGGCGTGATTTTTGTGTTGTTTGGTGCATCCATGGTTGCGTTGATTACCGCTCTTCCTGCTGCGGTACGTAAGCCTGACGGTTCCCGCCTTGCTCCTCTTGCTGCCGATGACCCAGTTTTTCTACTCTGTGACCGGGTTGTGGCCGGTTGACTTGCTTGCGGCATCTTTTCTTTCCGATGTCTTCCGATTTTTTAACCGTAGATTTTTGGTTATTTACTTAAAATTAACTTCTATTAAATCTTTATTTAAAACCAACTGATTTTTTTACTTTCTTAAAACTATTTTTTCACTTAGAGGCTAATTTAAGATTTCCTTCTTTAGTTTTCTCCACTGAATACCGCACTTATTACATCCATCCTATCTTATATACTAATTGAACCGTGGCGGCCATGTTGGCTCTTCCACTAGAGAAAGTTTTCACTTATTCAGCTTAGTATGTTCGTAGCCGGAATTCAACAAAATTTCCACTTTACTGGTTTTGCACGAAATCACTCGATGTTTTAGGGTATTTTTAGGATTTTTCAAGAGCTCATAGAAATGCAAACACTTTTCCGAGCGGTACACGTTTTTTTTTCCCGCACTGCACGATTGAAAATGGAATTCTTTTATCCCCGACGGCGACCGACAACTTTCTGCGAGCCAGGTATTCCGTTTCCAGCTTTCAGTTTCTTGATGAAGTCTCAGAAGCGTGAAAGATTTTGCTTGACAGTTGACTGAATAGTCCTCTCCAGCCGGGTTCGTATTGGTGCGATTTGCGTGTGTTAGTTAGATGAAATTTTTTGTTAGCTGTGAGAAATTTTTGTTTGCTGTTAGAACTGTCACTCGAAATAAAAATAAACAACCTCCGAGATCAAGATCGAGATTCAGCAGTTTTACGCAAAATGGTAAGGAGAAAATAATTGCGTATCTTGAAATATATTGTTAATCGATCTGTTTTTTATCCATTTTTTTTAAGGATTCCGTTGAAGCATTTGCGCGATATCAAATTAAAAGAAAAATGTGTTATGGAGTAGACCCCTACTCGGTGAAAACTGTTCAGACGGATATTCCATTGAATGTGACATTTCCGAAGATTTACCAGTTTCTTGTATTGGATCCTAATCCTTTCACTGGGGAACCTAAGGATTGTTCGAAGGCGATGGATGCCATACTTTTTTTCAAGAATGGATGGGTGAAAAATCTCGCCGGTGGCAAGGTACAAGACATGTATATTGTACACGGAAAAGTGCACCATTCGTTCGCTCTCAATGAAAAACCTCTTGAGCCATGGATCATTGTTCAAGAAGACGGCACAATTCAAGCAGCCCACTGTACGTGTGCCATTGGATTACTTGAGGCATGTAGGCATGTAGGTGCTACGTTATTTGCGTTGGATGGTGTAAGGACAGCCGTGCTTGAAAAAAAGGTAGTTTGAGAATAATAAATCACTTAATGAGTCAACGTATTACACATTCAATTTTTACAGTTATCCGTTACTGATCTCCCAGCATACTGGAAGAAACCACCGGCTTCGATAACGAATAATCTTTACAAGCCGATTGCTGAAGTAGATCTGGGAAGAAAAATTACCCGCAATTTCACCGTACGTGATACCGCTTCCATCTCGGCTTCAAATCAATCTCGGTGCTGCGACTTATTAAACAATTTAAAAGCAGATGGAATGCACGTTGCAGGTATGTCACTGTTCTGTGGAGATCCTCAAGTTGATTTTGAGTGTTCTTCATGCGACGACGACAAGCGAGTTGCAGATAAGCTAGAATCGTTCGATCTAAGCAAATACTTCAACGAACGCTTCAAAGGAAAATCCATTCACGAACTGCGAAATATTGCGGATTCCATCTTCCATCAGCTACCGCGTAAACGCGAGCTAATACAACTGGTTGAGCAGCACACCTTAGGTCAAAAAAACAGTAAATGGTGGATGATGTTGCGTGTAGGACGCATCACGGCTTCCGTGCTTAAGGAAGTTTGCTGCACGTTTCCTAATAAACCATCGCTTTCTCTTGTACGGAAAATTTGCTACCCTGATCAAACCAGATTTTCCACGCCTTCAGTAAAATACGGAATAAAGCACGAGGAGCGAGCAGTAGAGCAGTTGTATAAAGCCATCATGCATACTCATGTTAATGTTTCCAGACACCAGTCCGGATTAATCATACCGGAAAATGAACCTCATTTAGCTGCATCTCCCGATGCTATTGTTAAATGCGATTGCCATGGACTGATCACCGTGGAAGTAAAGTGCCCTTACTCAGCCAGGCAAAATGAAGATATCATCAATGTTCTTATGAGTTTCAAAGATCCATATATTCGGCGAGATCATAACGGAAACGTGACCCTTAACACTCACCACAAGTATTTCCTTCAAGCACTCATGCAGGTGCATGTTGCAAACGCTGCTTTTGGCTACTTCTACGTGTGGGCTCCGAAAAATTCGTTGATTTTTGAAGTAAAAACTAATGACGAGTATTGGAGCTATTGCAAACGTAAAGCCACCGTGTTCCACAAAAATGTCATCATTCCTGAACTGCTGTCAAAATGCTATACAGCACAAAAAACTTAAGTATGATATACATGTTTGATGCAGTGTTTTCCCGTTTTTGGCAACAAGACCTCATTAGGTAGTTTGTTCCTCAAATTTGTACTTGTGCTTTCTGGAAAATTTGTCATGAAGTATCAAGTAAAGAAGTCCCCAAGGAATGGTCTCGTGGAATCGAAAATATAATTAAGCTTCGAATGGATTTTCTAGAAAGCAAGGAAGACAAATATATGTGTTGCTAAAAACGAGAAAGCACTGTTGTTCAATTGAGCTTTGATTTGCGATAATAAACATTTCGGAATAATGAAATACACAACAACACTCTTTTGTAAAATTTATTAACCGGTACGTAATTAAAAAACATACATATGTTTGGAAAAAGCATATTTCTTACTATAAAAATCACGCATTTACGACGCTTGGACATAGGTTAACTAAAGCAGATGTAATCAGCAAAATTTGATCAATTGCTGGCATCCCATTATTCCACCGTTGTAGCAATGCAATCGGAATCGTATCAGTCAGAATCAAGAATTTCTGACGCAAAACTCCAATCAGGCGTTCAACGTGGATGCGCAATGACGACAACTCTTTTGAAGCAATAGCATCCATCGGTTCCAATTGATGATTTGTTTTCTTGAACGCTGGGTATGACACGGTTGCGTTCAACGGGGTGAGCAAACTTTCTATTAGGAATCCCCTGTCAGCCAAAACGAAGTCTCCATCTTGAAGTAATTGCAGAAATCCAGATTGTTTCACTATTTCCTTATCGGATATTCTTCCGCCAAAAGCTGATGAAACGTACAAAATGCTCCCGGATGGACTGATTTCAATTAAAATTTTCACAGTTTTATGTTTTTTATAGAAAGAAAAAACATTTGCATTAGCAATGATAGCTTTGGTGTTGGGAGATTCTATATTAATTTCAAAACAGTCAATTATGACTGTGACACTATCTCCATACCTTCTCCTAAATGCTAAAGGCATATGCTTCTTTAGCACATTCCTCTGAGGAAATCGAACGAACGTTCGCAGCAGAGGGCATATCGCATTTAATGTTTCGTAAAAATATTCTGCAATCGTCGTCTGACAGTACAGTTTAACAAGTAGCCTATGCTACAAAATGGTTCGTTCAAACGAAGTTTTCGGAAAGCCATGACAAGTAGCTGTTCTTTTGTCAGCTCTTGAAGCACAGGTAGATCATCACACAATGCATTGTAAACCTGTCGCAGAGCTTTTCCACAAAAGAGCCCAGTGAAATACTTACATTTCTTGTCATCTTCTTCTAAATCGGTGACCGAAAATCTAGGTCCACTTTTAGCTACCGATAATTCATATCTTAAGCGTGACTGATTTAAAGACAAGTTTGCAATCATTTTCTCTGCACGATCTAATTTTTGGTTTAGGTTCCGAATTTCATTTTCTGGACACCCGTCAGTTTGAGTGCTGGTTTCACTTTTGAAATGCTGATTCTGGTTATTGGTGATATTATCGATACGTACATTTTCATTGACACTAAAAAAACATGTTTTATTTATAAACATAATTGAGGGGTCCGAAGGAAAGGGGTATAAGCGACAATCCACATGAACATGAACCGGCATGATTGTACCATTGTACTACCGTAATCTATTACGTGGATTGAGGTATTAGGCTAAAATAATGCAACGATTATACTATCATGTCTGTCGGTGGTATGTAACTCAAATAATAGAAACAGTAAAATGCTAATAATCTTAAAGCTAACCTGTAAGAATCGAGGTGATAATTGGCATGCTCTTCTTCGGTTGGCCTCAAATCACTAGGTTGTACATTTTTAGTACCGAAAAAGTCTCCAGAGTGATCCTAATTGTTAGAGGTTATCGGATATATATTGTTTGATGTAATCAGAAGCTGGTTGATGTACACCGGCTGTGGAGAACTGCTCAACATTTCATGAGAACCCAGCTTGTCATCCTCGAAAGGGTTATTTTTGGAAACAGACAGATCCAAATCGGGTAACTTCTTCGTGAAGAGGAAGGTTACAGCTTTGCTTGTACCTGCAGCTACTGATTGATTCGGTAAGGTACAATGCTCATCATTCACATGATACCTGAAACACGTTCAATTATTACAATTATTAATCACGCATTCACGAATTTTTTCTTACACTTGTGGAGCGTATTCTATATCCTTTGTTGGCGAAACTTCGTTGAGAATAAGATTATTGTTTTCGTCATGATGATGATTTACGGTACTATTTAATGGAAATAATGTGGATACATTACTTTTAGCTGTGCTGTCAATTGATGACGAAATATCCAAGTCAATACTGCTGAGTTCACCAGTGGAGCAAAGTGATAACAGCATCAAACCTGATACGTTCAATGAAGAGTTTTCTGAAATTTCATTGTTTTTGAATGAATCATCGGTTGGATTCAGATCTTCTGATTCGTGTGTAGTTCTAAAAATAATAAAAAAATAATCTGTAAGCCATTCAAAACAGCTCAGAGGTGGAATTAGAGCGTAACAACTTTTGTAAACAATGACTCTTTCGATGATTTCTAGAAAGTTAAGGCTCGCCAAGGCAAATCAACAAAACGATAGGTAGAGGAAGACTTCCCCTACCTGACGGTTGTGTTGGTTTGCGGGGGCGTGCCTTTAGTTCCTAGAAATCATCGATAGAAGTCATTGTTTACAAAGGCTGTTACGCTCTAATTCCAGCTCTATCTAGAGTTACTTACTGTGTATATGCAACATCCGGAATATGATTTTTGGTTGCTCCGGGAACATTTAATGTTGGCACCCAGTCAATATTTTTCGTTTCTTGAAAAGCCGCTGGTTTTCCTGAATGAAAATGTCGACCACACACCAATAATGCCGACGATGTTAGAGGGAACTTGCAGTTCTTGAGCCACCGCAAGCGCCGAAGTTGCTGATACTTCTTTACTTCTTCAGCCGAGCGGCTGCTAACAGCCGGAACCCTGAAAAGCTTGTGGGTTGGATCTTTTGCATACACTGAACAGCCAGTCACAGAACATTTAGAAGGCATGATTATCACCATTTATACACTTTCCACAACAGTAGTTATCTAAACAACAATCAGAATCGAACCGAAATGAACGTAAACCAATTTGACAATCAAAATAATAACAAATTCTACGTATACCATGACAGGCTACGTTAGTGTGTATAAAATAATATTATAGCGTAGTGTTCGTGACATCCGTCTTGGAGAACTCAATACTGAGCAAATACACAGCAAAAAAAAATGGAATATCAATCAACTTAATTCAAGCTGATGTATTAAATATTGATGTAATAGCAAAAAGTAGATACAATGTAACATCAATCGATGTAATTTTGTTCGCAAAATCGATGTACATCGTACAACGTAATATTACACAACCGGCGGAATGACCTCTGTGCAGCTGTTTGGATGTAATATTCAACAATTTCTGTGTAGTTTTCATGTGTTTCAGAAAGAATGACTTTGTACTCCAACTCAAGCTCACGGAGTCTAGCTTTGTCGGACCCAATTTTTGTAAGGAAATATCGGTTGTGCATCTTACGTACATTGTTATGAAGGTTACGTAGCTCAGGAGTCCACCACGGTTGGTTGAAAACAGATATCGATTATTGTCTTTTTCGAGGTGCATGACGGTTGATAACTTCCAAGAGCGATTCGTAAAAAGCTGATAGCATCTGATCTACCGTACTCAATATCCATAAAAATAGAGTTCAACAAGTCAAAGTCGCATATCGAATAGTCAAATTTGAAACATTGATCATGATCTTCAACTATGGATGGTACAACACTCTCGTCAAGTAGTATGATGACTGGTGTGTGATGGTTATCAACAGGTAACAGCGATGCAGGTGCGGAAATCAGACACAATGGATCAGACGTAAACCAATATTTCATGTAAAATTATGTGCTCCGAGACTGAAAAGTTCGTTTGATTAAGTTGAATTTCGCGTCTGATATGACTCTATTTTATGTCAAAATTGACGCTCGTATGTGTCAGTCTGAGAGCACCAAAATTTAAATGATTTTTTCTTAGTGAGTAAATTAACTTGCTCATACGTCAAATTTTCACCGAAAATCATATCTATGACTTTTGATATCAAGAATGCCTATATTACTTGATATCTGCTATAATCTGAACCTACCATTACCCTCATGTTTTTAGCCGGGATGTTCTTTCGTGAAACTCACGAAAACCGAAAGAAATTAAATCTTCCAGTAAAGATAAACAAGTTGAGTAATTAGTTTTCCCAACGTCCCACTTTGCCCGGTAACATATTTGCTCTTGTTATAACGCCACAATGATAAATGGACGTATAACGTGCTTCACGTGATTCCCCGATGCATCATCGATGCGTTGCTTCCTGGAACACCGTCCCGAAGTTGGTCGAAAGATGATCCAAGGAAGCCACGTCCGTGCACAGTAGCTAGTAGCAGCAGCAGCCTCAGCCAACTAAACTAATTAAAAACTTTGTCTCCCGTATATACGCTGTGAGTGAGGAGAACATTTTCCAGCCGACTATGACGACCACGGAAAAACTCTCTATCGAAGGGCGATCATAAAAATTAATGACAAAACCGCACAATATAACACTCACTGCCTGCTTGGTGGTGGCCGGGCGTTTGCTGAACTAGAAACTTTTAATTAAAACCAACCCGTGTTCATTCAATTCGAGCAAAAATGGTGAACTGAAAAATTTCCCCACTAACCAGAATTGCCGCCGGTGGCGTCGGCCACGAAACAAGCCGGCTTCAGTGGTTTCTGCTTACACTCTTTTTTTTTCGTTGCTACCTTTATTCCGATTGGGTTCCGACCTGGTCGGACTGATAATTAAAATAAATTAGCACACTGCATCCGGCCAATTCTCTGCTGCTGATGCCATCGCCACCGGTGTTGGCAGATTCATACCTGTTGTTGTTAGCGTTGTTACATAACCTCAAAACCATCAATGTGTGTTCCTGTGTGTATGTGTGCTAAAGTGCAATAAAAATAATTCAGCCGGCGGTGAGCTACCCG